TTTAAAATTTCATATTAGGAAACATGATGAAGATTATTCAACACATGATGAAAAAATTTCATGTCACATGGTGAAAAACATCATAAAATATGATGAAAAATATGATCAACATGATGAAAAGTCATCATGTCAACATGATGAAAAGTTATCATAAAACATGATGAAAAGTCATCATGAAACATGATGAAAAGTTATCATGAAACATGATGAAAAATCATCATAAAAACATGATGAAAAGTTATCAACCTTTTGACCAGTACGGCTTGCCATAATAATATTCATGTAAAATTCATTATGCGCAAAAATGTTGATCATAAGTACAAGCATTACATGTATGACAAACAAATTTTGCACATTTGGAATAATATCTTCATCAAGCCTCATTGTTGTAGAGGTTAGAACCGGTTAATGTTAATTAGTTGGTTAACCAGTTAAGACGGTTAACCAACTAAGAGGTTAACCAGTTAAAACTATTTTGACCATAAATCCATAATTCTGGTCAGATTTACTTAATGCGGCCCAGAGATGGTAATTTCAGTCATTTGTCCCCAAACTCAAAGTTTTAATACCAAAATTTTCCTATTTATTAATAATGGAATTAATCATCTTTCAACTAAATGCATTAGTAAAATAAAATCAAAAATTGGTACAATTTTCAGCAAAAAAAAATTTAAAATATTTTTCATATTAACTGGTTAGGCCCTTTGTTAATATGTTACGTAAAAAATTCAGTTATAAAGATACAAATAAACAGTTCACTATTCGAAATCATTATTCTCATATACCACAAGCTAATGATTATATTGGTAATACAGTTAATTCACGTTTGATTTATTCAACTATCAAGGAACCAATACTAAACCATTCTCGAAGAGCAAATTTATCTACTAATGAAATTGATAATATTTACAACTGATGGAATAAATTATTTGAATGAAAATCAGAACTATAAGGATACTCTTATTGAAGAATACCCACCAGATGATGGATATGCTACCGATTCAGATAATTTGGAATCACAAAAAGAAAATTTCGAACGGTTACAAAATAAAAGGTTAGAGGAACGAAATATAAACGGTATCTAATAATTAAAAAAAAAATTAATTATATTAAATATAAAATAAAAAAAAATATATTAAAAAGAAATGTTAAAAGGCATTTCTATTAGAAAAAATAAATTCAAATGTAAGTTTCACAACAAAATGTTGTGAGACTTACCGTCTCTAAAGTCCAAATCGCCTACTGAAACTTAATAAGGTGGGAAAAGAGAGAGGAGAAAATTGGAAAGAGAGAAAGAAAAGGTGCAGGAAAAGAATGAAAGAAAGGTAAGAGAAAGTGAAAGAAGAGAAGGGAAGGGTGAAAGAGGAGAAGGGCTAAATCGGAAGAGGAAGGAGAAGGCGAAGGAAGGGGAAAAGGAGAAAGAAAGGGCGAAAGAAAAGCCAAAAGAAATAAAAAAAAATTTTATATACTGCGGCTGCACCTACACTGAATATCATGTGATATACAGTATGTGATACACATAATACGTGATACACTGATACACGAATAGACGAATAGTTGAATAGTCGTAATATAAAAGTAACATTTATAAAAGCCTATTTTTTTTATATTTAAAGAATACTTAACGTAGGAATCCTTAAGGATCCAGTAATTTATAGAATCCTTAAGGATCTTTATAATTCACATAAGGATTTTTAAAGATTCTATAAATTGCTAGATCCTTAAGGATTCTAAGATAATTATTTAAGGAATCTCTCTACAGCCTAAAATTTTACTATGATAGTATTATAAAATAAAAATAAAATTAAAAAAAAACTCTGAAACTATATATTAAGATTAAAATTAAAAAAGAATTAAAATCAATTACATTAATAAGGATAAAATTAAGAAAAACCATGATAGGATTAAAAATTTACCAATAAATTTTTATAAAAAAAAAATTCAAGCTAAAATTCTCAATACTCTTACTTAAATAAATTATTTTCAATAAAATTTTCTACCAAAAGGCTTCTAAATGAAATTTTCCATCAAAAAAAGACTCACATATAAAAAATTTTCAACCAACAAAATTGTCAAAAAAAACTACCCTATTAAAGATAAATTTTCTAATGAAATTCTCATCAAAAAAAAATATCTCCTATTGAAGAAAATTTCTAATGGAAATCCTCCCCAATTAAACAAAATTCTTACCTATTAAAAAAATTCTCAAAAGAATTACTATATCAATAAAACTTCCCTCCCATTAAAAAAAATTCTTTACCGAAATTCTCTATCAAAAAAAAAAATCTTCCTGTTAAAAAATTTCTAACGAAATGATCTATCAAAAAAAAATCTTTCCTATTAAAAAAAAATTCTCTAATTAAATTAATGAAATTCTCCACCAAAGAATATTTTCACCTAGTATTAAAAAAAATTATCAAAAGAAATTCTTTATCAAAAAAAGCTCCCTCCTATTAAAAAATAATTCTTTAATGAAATACTTTATCAAAAAAAAAAAAATCTCCCTTGTAAAAAAAATTTAATTTCAATGATTTAATTTAATACATAATACTTTTTTTGTTATCTTTTTTCGTGTTTAAAAAGGCGATACTATCAAAGTCGTAATATGTTTAAACCCCCAGATAATCGGTAAGACGCTATAAATGGAATCCAAAAGGATTTGATTTCCATAAATGGAAACCATTGTATGATCAACATAGAAAACAACAAGAAGACATGTTGTACAGTCGGTACACCATACCAGATAGATATTCCTTGTGATCAACATAATGCATTATTATTGCCATATATACCCGTAATTAATTTACTAATTTACTGTCCAATTAAAAAATTTAATAATAATAATATATAAAAAATAAATAAATAAATAAATAAAAAGATATTTTACTCTATCTTTTCTAGTTAGGAAAATATAACAATGGCTTATAGAAATGATAATGGTAAAAATCATATATAACAAGAATATTTAATAAAATTAGAACTATAAAATTTTTAACAAATTTACAATATAATAAACTCTTATTATTTTTCACTTCTATTTAAATTGCTTATTGAAGAATCTAAAGGAAATAACACAGAAGAATTCGGAGAAAATATTATTGAAAAATTTAAAGGATGTAGTATTGAGGAGTCTAAAGGTATATTAAACTAACTGAGATATTAAAATACTATCTATAATTATACTCTATAAAATTATACATATAATTTAAACTAACTATATATAATATAAAATTATATTAAATAATTCAGCTCGTAAGTTAATAAGTTATTTAGTTACTTATAATTAAATAATAATGGAAATACTTATTTATTATTTTATGTAAACTTAATAATTCAATTAATAATTAATAATACTATAGTTAGTAAGTTATTCAGTTATTTAAATCTTTATTTTTTTTTTACATAACATTCAAATAACTAAATTCTTTGTTTAAATAACTATTTAACAATGTGTTATATTACAATTATATTACAGATGGTAAGTTACAATATATATTATATTCGTTTATTTAATATTTTATATAACTTAACTAATTATATTCTCATAAATAACTAGATTGTTAGTAATACATTTAATTTACAGTGAATACTTTTATATTATGTTTATATCTAACCAATTAATAATTAATAACACTACAGGGTGTAAGATATATCTATATTTCTACTATTTATATAATTTAAACAAACTAAATTCTTTATCATTTAAAAAATTATTTTGTAATTTTATTTAGTTGGTAAGCTATACGATATTTATTTAATTCTATTATTACTTATTTATGTAATATTTACATATAATTTAAACTAACTAAATTCTTTATTTAAAATATCATTTAATAATATAGGGTGTAAGTTATTTATTTAATTCTA